ATTGGTTCATTGTTAGTAGCTGGGTTTTGGTTGTCTGCTGTTTCATTCAAAGCTTCATTGTCCTCATCCTCCTCTTCTTCCTCCGTTGAGTTTGTAGGGTTGGACGATTTCAGAGTATCAAGCACTCTTTTAAAGAATGAAGTGTTTCTAATCATGCTTTTGCCGTTGCGACTGACGGTGACCATTGGACCTTTCTTGGAGGTTACTTGGTACGGATCATGGTCATAGAACGATGACAGTTTGTTTTTGTAGGGTTGACGAGCGAGGACAGTGTCTCCTACTTGTATGTCGAAATTTCGGGCATGTCAAGGATCGTCAGCGTACCGTTTTGTTGCTTCCTTTTTGTTTGTGTCATGTTGACGAATGTCAATGTCAGTCGTTGGTGGTTTCATGAGTGAATCTATCTGAGGTAGTTTCACTCTAATGTTGCGTTTGAACAGAGCTTTTTCTGGGCTCACACCAGTGCTGATGTGGGGGGGTCAAAAGGGGGTAGCTCGGTAATTCCTTAAAAAGTGATATAGTTCTTGTTTCCATGGCTTGCCTTCAATGAGTGCAGACTGCACTGTTTTCTTGAGCATTTGCATGCATCTTTCAACACCACCATTGGCTTGGGGCCATAGAGGAGTTATTCTGCGGTGTTTACATCCTAGCTGCGAAGCAAACTGTTTGAATTCGTAGCTGGAGAAGGGCGGACCATTGTCAGACTTGGCGGTGCGTGGGACACCATGACGAGCGAAGATGGAGTCAAGTTTTGGGATTGTGGCTCTTGTATATGGCGCCAGTTAGGATCTTTGTTTTGGTATAATATTTGGCCAATGTTTGTTTCTGGCTTCTTTTATGTATTATTGTGGGTGTTTTACGTAATAGAATATATATATTGAAAAATTTTGGGCAGCACTGCACACCGTGCCTGGAAGAAAGGGTAGAAGCTGTTGTCTTCCTGTCTCCCTCTATTGCGTACCAAGTCCTAGTGCTGCACGAAGTAATTAGAAATCTTTAAATTAAATCTTCTCAGATTGTGAGCGTAGTGAGTTGTTATTATAGTTTCACTTTATTTCAGCTTTTATGCGGTTTCATTTAGAAACAGTTGTAAATATCGACAGATGTAGATTACGGGATATCCTGCAGATTCTAACTGACTTTCTCTAGACATCTAAGTTGATAGTAGCTAGTAAGCCTATTGCCCATTTGCTCACTTTCCAATTATGCACCACCTTGTCTGCAACCCACGCGACACCACTGAGAGAGAGAGAGAGAGAGAGAGAGAGAGAGAGAGAGAGAGAGAGAGAGAGGGGGGGGTATAATATTACAATAATATAGGAGAGAGCGACATGATGGGAGAACGTTTTGAAAGAGTAGGCCTGAAAAATTACATGTACTAATACCACAGAATCCTACACTTATAGAATTCGGTGCCTACCACAAAAAGTTCACAAGGTAAGCTGCAAACAAGGATGAGATCAGAAAGAGATCAAGCTTTACTCTGTTTCAACTTTAACGGTGAATTTATTTTGTGCTACATGTGCAGCGACAAATTTTAATGTGCAATCTGTTCACGTAGGCATCGCCCCCCCCCCCCCCCCCAAAAAATGCCAACAGAAATCCAATCATTTTACCAGCAAGTGCCATGCATAATAAACTATGTAAGTAAACAGTTTTTGTCTCTTAAATTGCAGGGAAATGGCCATGTATTCGGGTGTTACCAGAGAGTTTATCGAGTATCTCGGTCTTTCTCCGGAGTATAGACTACGTTAATCTAATCCCTCTCCGCCCGGGTTGGCAAAGTCGCCAGCTCGCTTCCTAAAATTATTATCAATACTCGCAATGTGTCGATGAGTATGTGAAAAACCTTTAGCCCACACGTACATGTATTTAGAAGAAAAAAAGCAACAACCCAAAACACTGAACAGAGTAGGCCTAATCATGCATTTCATACACAATAGACCTGTTATACTAAAATAAATACATTGACATGTAAATGTAATAAACATTCTAGACGAAAACTTGGCCCCTTGAGTCACAATGAGAATGTGACCTGATATTAGGCCTATAATAAGCAACACGACAATTTTGGCGACTTCTTTGTCTTGAACAGCACGCTGACCGACATTTGATTCGTTCAAACTCATTCTTGTTTCACACTGTCCTAGAAGAAAAATCTGGGTAACAATGTTTGTTTTTCTTGATCGGCTATTGAATCTTCTTTTGAGCTTGTTCCCGCGGATTGTTCCCTGTCAGGCCGTCGGAGAAAGATGGGTCCAAAACGCAAAGCTCCTGAGACAAATGGAATGAAAAAGGAAAAGAATCCTGAAGTTGACCACGAACTGTTTCTTCAAGCTTTTGAAAGTAAGATTTTTTAAAGATTCAAATCCTTTATTCTGGTAAAATCAGAGCCTTTTACACGCGGAAAAAGAAAGCCCACAACCTATTATCGATACCGCTGAACTGTTGCTACAAATTCAAGTCGTGTATTAGTTTCTATTATGAACGAATTGGCCTTTTATTAGGTTGTTTCTGCTCTGGTTTTTATAAAAGCTAAGCACAGTGGGAAATTTGATTTTTGGGGGGTAAAAATGTGAAGAAATATAGAATCTAGAATCTAGATCTACATAGAATACTAGATTTCTAGATCTAGATCTAGATCTAGAATCTAGAGGCGCTTTTTCGGTAGTTCCCACCCCCCTTATTTGATTGAGCCTGACCTACATCTAGATCTATGTACGTTTGATTCGCGGCAAGCTAAGATATCAAACCTAACAACTGCAAAACATTAAATTGTGGTAAAATTCAGGGGGGCATGCCCCCCTGAAACCCCCCACCATGTTTTTATTAGGTCAGGGGGGCAAGCCCCCCTGAAACCCCCTTACTCTTGGGGCCAATACCGGCGAATAACAAATGCGGGGTGGGAACTACCGAAAAAGCGCCGATCTAGATATTTCTAGATCTAGAATCTAGATATATCTAGATCTAGAGATATGTGTATAAGATTATGAGATTATAATCCGTAGTATAGTATGATAATAGTATGGCCAAGTCGCAAGACAGACTGAGACTGGTCTTCTGAAGGGGGCGGGTGTCTTGACTTGAACTTGATTTGATTGGCGAAGACGAAGAGCAAAGATTATAGATCTAGGTCTAGGCCTAGATCTAGATGACAATAATTCCTGATAGTGATAGATCTAGAGTAGGCCCGCGTCACCGCGCTACTGTTTGGGTGCGCAACCCCCGGTCTCCTGCTTTGTTTTGGATAAGAACAGTGAAAACGAGGTCACTTTCTGTGAGCATGCGCAGAATGCAGCTTATTTCACTTTCGTTTTGGAGGTTCCTGTCAACACACGTGATTCTACGGTGTCGGAAAGTTTTGCCCCTTCATATTAATGGTTTTCGTGACTGGTATCGGTCAATTTACTAAGCGCTTGAGTAGTCGATTATAAATTAGCACATCTAGCTAATCTAGCTCTAATGACTAATGTATCGTAGAATGTATACTAGAATCGATAAATACTATCGCAGGCTGCTTCTTAATGCCCAGGAACATGCCAGATAGGGTTGCGCACTGAAGCAGACCAAATTTGTGCAGTCCGTTTCAGTGCGCAATATCGGCTTTTTTGCTATTTGGCATTGATTATGATTGATAGTGTGGCTTCTAGGCCCTTTGTTTGTTTTACTTTTATTAATAAGTTATTTCTTTATGACCTGCATTGTGCACTGAAACAGACTGTTTTCCTTCCGTTTGGATGCATTATATTGCCATTGGAAGATGATCAGTTAATGTATTCATGTCAGAATTAATTAATATGGAAATATAATCTCCAAAATGTTCAATTTCTTCTTTTCATGTCTTTTTCTTCTTCTTTTTTGCCCTTTTCCTTAAAGAATACTAGTCTAGGTATAGTCTAATTCTTGTTTTCTTCTTTCACTTCCTTGTGTCCACAGCACCTTTCTTTTTCAATTTCTTCTTTTCACTTTTCACGTCTTTTTCTTCTTCTTTTTTGTCCTTTTCCTTCTAAAATACTAGATCTAGATCTAGTCTAGGTATAGTTTAATTCTTGTTTGCTTCTTTCCCCTTCTTGTGTCCACAGCACCTTTCTTTTTAGGCCACCTCTATTCTCACCCAGGGTGAGAATAGTGCAGGCGAGTCTTGTGGCTATAGATAATTTCACGGTAAGGTGCGCCATCTTGCCCAGGGGTATTGAGGGTTACACCCGTGCATCTCTGTTTACATCCGGTTTTCGGCTAATTGGCCCTAGGGATAGTCGATTACTGAGATTTTGTGATCGATACTGAAACCGATACTCGAACGAGCGTATTAGATTTAGACCTAATACACAATAGGCCGGTACAGTAGGCCTCTGCTCTATGTAACTGAATTTGTTAAGAAATTAAGAAACAAAAACATCTCCAATTAAGAAAATTTGGTTCGTCTTCCTCGTAAATAGAAATGATCACAGGTGTTTTCGAGTACAAGGGTATCGACTTTGCTCATAATGTACGATCTTTGACTGTGTGACTACTAAGTCAAGTGACTAGCCCTAGGCCTCATGTGTTTATGTTTTGTTAGCCTATCCAGTCTTCGTTCCGAGCTCTAGAGATCTAATTTTTGATAATTTAAATCTTGCTGACAGTTTTTGAATAAAGATCTAACATGGAAGATTCTGGTGATGATGATGGAACAAACCAGTTCACTCAAATGACAAAAACACAACTGGTGGATTATCTTGGAGCAAGAGGACTGAGCACCACAGGAACAAAACTTGCTCTCATAGGTCAGGCCTTTGTGGCGTGGGAAACTGGCGTGACGGTAAAGTCACGTTTCAAAATCAGTTGAAAGAAGACTACAAGACAACCCTCAAGAAATTTAGTATTCCAGACCCAGTTTCATTGCCTCCTGATAGTTGGTCTGAAAAAGTTACGAAATGGCCACCGGTGGACATGGGAAAAATCTTCATGTACCTTCTTAGTACAAGTGAGTACAACAGAGACTATATAGGGAAGTACAAGACACAAAAGGCCTATTCCTATTTTGCCAGTAAGTTTGTTGGTACCATTCTGTGGGCACAAGTGCCAGATGACTGCGACAGATGTTTCCTGACATCGGAGGTAACACCGTCACAAAGCGTCAGAGGTGACACCCACAAACAGTGGATCTTGTTGCGAAACACAGGAGAAATCCTGACGTCGATGTGCAGCTGCACTGCTGGCATGTGCAGTACATGCAACCACGTTATTGCTGTGCTGTACAAAGTGGAGTTCGCTATCAGTAACCATCTGAACTCTGAATCCTGCACAGAGACAAGCTGTGCGTGGAATAAATGTACTAAGAAAACTGTTGAGCCGAAAAGAGTCGAGGAAATGGAACTCCGTTCTGACAGTGCCCCAAAGTACTCCTCTTCAGACACTGCATCGGAATCTCGGAAACGTAGACTGACGTTCGATCCACGTCGAGACGGTGAGAACAAAAAGAACCCTGAAAAGTTGTGAATTTTCTGGAGGGTCTATCGACGTTTGCACCCAAGTGTGCCTTATTTTCTGGAATGGCAGCTCAACTTCAGACAAAAAGTTTAGAGCCGATATCGATGCCTCCAACCATGCTCCAAGCAGCGGAACAATGCATCGCCAAGAACAGCGGTTTGGATGACAAGGGATTGTCAAAGAAATTTGGTGAGTCTCTTGTGTACACTAGAGACCAGTGTAAGTTGTTAGAAGAGACAACAAGGCAACAGGGATCATCAACAACTTGGCACAATCACAGGAAGGGGAGGATTACTGGAAGCAACATTAAGCGGGTAGTGAGGAAAATCGAAGAGCTCAACAGAAACGTTAATGCCGCAACCACCTCTCTGACACATCATCTTCTGTCAGGCGGGCCAGACTTGTCCCACATACCTGCCATTAAGTGGGGCAGAGACAGTGAAGAAAGTGGCCTTCAGGAATTTGAAGCTAGTATGCATTCTAATCATCTGAACGTCACCCTGAGAAGAGCTGGGCTCTACGTGAAGAGTACGCATCCGTATATTGGTGCCAGCCCTGATGCCGTCCTGCACTGTGACTGTCATGGTCTTAGTACTGTGGAATTGAAGTGTCCTTTCAAGTTGAAGGGAAAAAACATTGTAGACAACTATGCACAGACGGATTTTTTATGCAAAGGTGAAAACGGGGATCTGGAACTGAAACGTGACCATGCGTATTACTACCAGGTTCAGACACAGCTTGCCGTCACTGGGTTTACAGCAGGATTCTTTTGTGTGTCTTCTTTGGATGGCAAGCCATTTATCATACAAGTGTTAAGGGATGACAAGCTGTGGGAAGACATTCAGCAAAAACTAGTTGTGTTTTTTAAAGGGTATATTAGCAAGCACCTACTAGGCCTGAAAGAATTTTTATTCTGTCCAACTTGTGACAACCTGATTTTGGAACCAAGAGAATGTCAACAGGAGGGCGACAACAGTGTGTGTTGTGATTCTTGTAACCTGTGGCACCACTGGACCTGTCAGGACTATTCAAAAGACAAAGACACGTTCCTCTGCTCATTCTGCACAGGGGACAACATGGAATAACATCATGCAGCATACAACATTGACTGTACATACCATCTCAACAGCGACAAAGTAAGTTTATTTTATCTTTCTCAGGCTCTGTCCACTGAATGCATCACAATCACAATTTTACTCAACAGTAACAACAAACAGCAAAAACAACATTCCTCATGTAGCTTTGTGTAATTTTTAAAGTTATCTTTATTGCATTGTTAGTTTTTGTTGACGATGGTACTTTTCTATAATTTATTATTTGGTTTGGTTTGGGTGTAATATTACCGTACATTGCTTGATTTCTCTATGCTGTCAGAGGATCCAGTAGGTTGCAGAATGCACTGCAAGTGATTATAATGTCATCGCATAGGGGCAGCAATGTCATCTCCATTTCGCTCGACAAAATACGGTACCACTTCAGTCGGTTAATGGCTTGCTCGACGTAGATACGCACATTTGCAATTCTGCTTGTTGCCTGGACATCCTCTTTCCTCATCTGTAAAGCATTTCTGCAGCTCGGTGGGATAGTTAATGTGGTTTGGGCATTTGCAAGTAAGTCTCTTATCTTGAAACCACGATCAGCCATGATTTGATCATATGGTTCTATCAAGTTTAAGAATCCACTGTTTTCCACAATAAATTTATCTGATGCCCTTCCTCCATAAGCTTTCGATACATACGAAATTAATCCAGTAGGTGAGATGGCCACCAGAAATTTTACTGTGCAATGGTGTTTATACTCACTCCAGCACATTGCCTGAGTATCGAGGCTGGATGGAGTTTCTATGAAAACCTCTGTACAATCAATTATTGCTC